TCTCATGCGCTGCGAAACTTGCCTCCAAATTTCAATGCTCATTTCTTTTTATATTCTGATATATGGCGTTTTCTATGTTTTTTTTTCAAATTTTTGCGGGAATGTTAAATGAAAAAATTTGAAATTCCCAGCCCTGTAGTTGGGTGCGGTTAGCGGAGTCTCGGGGTTGCAAATTTTTCCTGCAATATGCCTGCTAAAATCTTTTTAGTTTCCAAGATATGACATTTTCGTAAAACTTGAATTAAGAATGACTGAGCAAACTTTGAAGTTCCCAACTAATTTAGTGCTCTCTGGTTACTCTCATTAGTTGGAAATTTTGCCCCCAAATTTCTTCATAGGCCCTTTAAGTTTCCGAGATATGACGGTTTAATGGTTTTTCAAAATTTGAATTAAAAAAAAAAATTTTGTCCGAAATTCTGAAATTAATAACCCTGTAATTGATTGCTACCAGAGTACACTCAGAGGTTGCAGATCTTAGTTTCAATATACGCCGTTTTTTCTCAATTTCCCTAAAATTAGAAGCACCCCAGGTGCTATACTTGCTTGTTTAATTTAGTTCATGCAATGTTACGTTGTTGTTGTGCATTTTTAAGCTCCCTTTTGCCGCTTTGTCGTTCATGTCTGTGAAGCTGGGGATTCGCCGCTGTGTACAAGTTGACCGTGCTGTAATTTGTTCAATGAGACTCAAAGTTGAAGAAAAAATCAGAAATCGTTTCTTTTAGGTTTCTTTGAATTAATAACGATTTTTTAGGTTTTTTTAGGTTCAGTTCGTTTCTTATGTTATAAGGAAGGCAACCTCCATTCCATAATGGAACAGCAAAAGTGTTAAGTTCACGAAAAAAACGATCAACTTCTAATTTTGAAATATCGTGGAGTTTAATTTTCAGATTTCCCAGCGGAATAATAACTTAACCTATTGATCCAGTTCTCTCAAATTAGGTTAATGTGATCAAAAAAGCGCCAATCATGAATTGTTCTAGAAATTCATAGAGCCTAAAGGAAATCTATTTTTTTCTTTGAAATTCAAAACTTGAGATTTTTTCAACAATGTCAGTGTTTTTTTTTGTTTACTTGCGTTCATTACTTTTTTCCAACTGTCAGTTAGCTATGTTTTCTGTTTTAAAATTTTTTTTTATAAGTGAATTGGGCTATAATGAAAGAATTTTTTCATGTTTAAGCTATATCGTATATTGAAATGGTTAAGAATTTTTCGATTTTCCAGTTTGAATTCTGTTAATTTCTCCAGATTCAAAACTAGCTAGCCATTAGTGGGATGATGCAAGGCTTTCCGCGGGATTGAGAATCTTGCCTCAACTTATTACTGCTCAAATCTTCGTAGTTTTCGAGATATGACTACGGGTAATCTCAGGAGCCGCGTTTCTTGCCTCAAATATAACTGCTCAAATCCCGGTAGTTTTTGAGATACGATGTTTTTTCAGATTGTTTCCGAAATTTTCATAAAACTTGTTTCCGAAATTTTCTTAAACTGTCGTTGGGTATTGTGAGGGTATCCTCAGGGTTTTTTTTTATCTTGCGTCCAAATGCGACTGGTCAACTGCCTTTAGTTTCCGAAATGAGACGTTTTTTAAGGATTTTAAAAAATTCAAAGAAGTTACCTATAGGAAATTCCTTACCTTCATAGAATTGAAATTCCTAGCCTTTTTGTGAGACAACTTCATTGTCGGGGTACTCTCATGCGCTGCGAAACTTGCCTCCAAATTTCAATGCTCATTTCTTTTTATATTCTGATATATGGCGTTTTCTATGTTTTTTTTCAAATTTTTCGGGAATGTTAAATTAAAAAATTTGAAATTCCCAGCCCTGTAGTTGGGTGCGGTTAGCGGAGTCTCGGGGTTGCAATTTTTTCCTGCAATATGCCTGCTAAAATCTTTTTAGTTTCCAAGATATGACATTTTTGTAAAACTTGAATTAAGAATGACTGAGCAAACTTTGAAGTTCCCAACTAATTTAGTGCTCTCTGGTTACTCTCATTAGTTGGAAATTTTGCCCCCAAATTTCTTCATAGGCCCTTTAAGTTTCCGAGATATGACGGTTTAATGGTTTTTCAAAATTTGAATTAAAAAAAAAGTTTTGTCCGAAATTCTGAAATTAATAACCCTGTAATTGATTGCTACCAGAGTACACTCAGAGGTTGCAGATCTTAGTTTCAATATACGCCGTTTTTTCTCGATTTCCTTAAAATTAGAAGCACCCCAGGTGCTATACTTGCTTGTTTAATTTAGTTCATGCAATGTTACGTTGTTGTTGTGCATTTTTAAGCTCCCTTTTGCCGCTTTGTCGTTCATGTCTGGGAAGCTGGGGATTCGCCGCTGTGTACAAGTTGACCGTGCTGTAATTTGTTCAATGAGACTCAAAGTTGAAGAAAAAATCAGAAATCGTTTCTTTTAGGTTTCTTTGAATTAATAACGATTTTTTAGGTTTTTTAGGTTCAGTTCGTTTCTTATGTTATAAGGAAGGCAACCTCCATTCCATAATGGAACAGCAAAAGTGTTAAGTTCACGAAAAAAAACGATCAACTTCTAATTTTGAAATATCGTGGAGTTTAATTTTCAGATTTCCCAGCGGAATAAAAACTTAACCTATTGATCCAGTTCTCTCAAATTAGGTTAATGTGATCAAAAAAGCGCCAATCATGAATTGTTCTAGAAATTCATAGAGCTTAAAGGAAATCTATTTTTTTCTTTGAAATTCAAAACTTGAGATTTTTTCAACAATGTCAGTGTTTTTTTTTTGTTTACTTGCGTTCATTACTTTTTTCCAACTGTCAGTTAGCTATGTTTTCTGTTTTAAAAAATTTTTTTATAAGTGAATTGGGCTATAATGAAAGAATTTTTTCATGTTTAAGCTATATCGTATATTGAAATGGTTAAGAATTTTTCGATTTTCCAGTTTGAATTCTGTTAATTTCTCCAGATTCAAAACTAGCTAGCCATTAGTGGGATGATGCAAGGCTTTCCGCGGGATTGAGAATCTTGCCTCAACTTATTACTGCTCAAATCTTCGTAGTTTTCGAGATATGACTACGGGTAATCTCAGGAGCCGCGTTTCTTGCCTCAAATATAACTGCTCAAATCCCGGTAGTTTTTGAGATACGATGTTTTTTCAGATTGTTTCCGAAATTTTCATAAAACTTGTTTCCGAAATTTTCTTAAACTGTCGTTGGGTATTGTGAGGGTATCCTCAGGGATTTTTTTATCTTGCGTCCAAATGCGACTGGTCAACTGCCTTTAGTTTCCGAAATGAGACGTTTTTTAAGGATTTTAAAAAATTCTAAGAAGTTACCTATAGGAAATTCCTTACCTTCATAGAATTGAAATTCCTAGCTTTTTTGTGAGACAACTTCATTGTCGGGGTACTCTCATGCGCTGCGAAACTTGCCTCCAAATTTCAATGCTCATTTCTTTTTATATTCTGATATATGGCGTTTTCTATGTTTTTTTTCAAATTTTTGCGGGAATGTTAAATGAAAAAATTTGAAATTCCCAGCCCTGTAGTTGGGTGCGGTTAGCGGAGTCTCGGGGTTGCAAATTTTTCCTGCAATATGCCTGCTAAAATCTTTTTAGTTTCCAAGATATGACATTTTCGTAAAACTTGAATTAAGAATGACTGAGCAAACTTTGAAGTTCCCAACTAATTTAGTGCTCTCTGGTTACTCTCATTAGTTGGAAATTTTGCCCCCAAATTTCTTCATAGGCCCTTTAAGTTTCCGAGATATGACGGTTTAATGGTTTTTCAAAATTTGAATTAAAAAAAAAATTTTGTCCGAAATTCTGAAATTAATAACCCTGTAATTGATTGCTACCAGAGTACACTCAGAGGTTGCAGATCTTAGTTTCAATATACGCCGTTTTTTCTCAATTTCCCTAAAATTAGAAGCACCCCAGGTGCTATACTTGCTTGTTTAATTTAGTTCATGCAATGTTACGTTGTTGTTGTGCATTTTTAAGCTCCCTTTTGCCGCTTTGTCGTTCATGTCTGTGAAGCTGGGGATTCGCCGCTGTGTACAAGTTGACCGTGCTGTAATTTGTTCAATGAGACTCAAAGTTGAAGAAAAAATCAGAAATCGTTTCTTTTAGGTTTCTTTGAATTATAAACGCTTTATCTCTTCTTTTCTTTTTGATTGCTGGCTATATTTACGCTATATATACAACCGCTGTTCTCCTTTCCACTTGGCCTTGAGTTAACGCGGTTGTTTTTGCACCCGAAGGCCTGGGATTTGAGTCTCGGTCAGAACTTTTTTTTCAGAATGCATGAAATCGAAAATTAAATCGCATTGTCGTTAAGAGTCGATTAACATAGTGAAGTCTATTATATTGGAAGAAAAATCTGTCTAAATTTTAAGACTTTTCCTGGAAAAAAAAACTGATTAAATGATTTAGGTCGTGATGACCTCTTTCGCATTGTTTTTTCAGGAAAAGGCTTGACTTTTGGTTTTTTTTCAAGTTCAGTTCATTTGTTTTGTAATAGGAAGTCAAACTCGACTATCGAACAGCAAAAGTGTACAGGTCACGACAAACGCAATAGAATTCTAATTTCTAAGTTTTAATTTTCAGATTTCCCGGTGGTTCAAAATTTTTCCTTAAGAGTTATTTAGGGTGCAAATTTTTTTGTGCATTGAAATTTGAAAGTTGATTTTTTTTATTTCTCCTTGCGTTCATTCTCTTTTCCAACAATCTGTTGGCTGCGTTTTTGTCTGCATGTTTTATTGGTTTAGTTGAAACATCGCGGATTTTTGTGCTGCAAGTAGTTTTCCTTGCTGTTGCAAGTGTCATAGTTTAACTCCTGTGTCCTGTGTACTTCCGTCTCATTTTCTGTTCGGTAGCTTACACTGCTACGCTTGCGTCGTATCACCCATGATGCGAAGCTTCGCATTGCCTATAGGTGTAAACCTCTACTACATTAAAAAAAGAAGAAAGGCTATTTGGGTTTGGAATTGCTTATACCTGCAGTTTAACACTTCTCTATTGGTTTGTTCGCAGCTACAACTGAGTGGGAGGACTTCCAAGGCATCAGACTAGACTGGATCCGTCTCCAGACATACTTGGGAGACATTCCTCAGGAGCGGCGGAGTGGATTCCTTGGTCTCAGGCCACCAGCCGGGGGAGGGGGTGGAGGAGCGATGGAAATGATGGCCCCGAGTGCCTATGGACGCATGCAGGAGGTGGCCATGAGAGTGACGAAGGCCATGTTTGCCATCACGTTCTCGTCTAAGATGATAGACTATCTAGACAATATTCTCAATCAAGTGTCAGACATGTCCATATTCTTGTAAGTAACTTTTTCTATACTGGAGATAATTGTTAAGAAGACCAGAGCGAAGGTGGCCGAGTAGGTACTGCGCGCGTCTCTTTAAAAGTGGGATGTGGGATCGAATCCCACTTCGGTCCCGGTCGAAGAGTTCCCCATGACATCCGTCTCCTCAACGTCAGAATGGCTTTGTTGAAATACCCCCCATCCCATCACCTCTAGTGGCTAGGAGCGGGGATAAATAAAATAGTTTGGAAGACCATGGCTCATTGGAATTGAGTTGTTAAGCATTGTTTTCAAAGTATACTGATGCATATGAAAAGATCATGACAAAGATTTAATTACTTTTTACAAAATATAATTTATTTTTAAATTTTGTCTCACTGCTGCTAATTAATGCTTGCAATCTGGAAAACAGCCGTTTATCCTAAAAAATAATGGCTTTGGTTAAGACAAGGGAGGTGAAAATATTTACGAAAGGTGAGATGTTAATTCATTGCTTTCAGTCTAAGTTCGAGCAGCTTAGTGTTGGAAAAAGTGTTCATGCAGACACTTACAGAGACACCCGCGTTCTGTCTAGTGTTCCCCCAACTGCTAAGCTCAATCTCTTTTGACCCTCACAGACACGCCTTGTTGGGGGGACCACAGATATGCATTGAGGAGGTGAATGGAAAGGAACAGAATGGGCGTGAAATAATAACTGATCAAACTCTTAGTTACTTAACAACGTCATATCACACGTTTGGGGAAACACGCTCTTGTTAAGAGTCGATGAACGTAGTTCAGACTATTATATAGGTCGCGATGATTTTTTTTTTCAGGAAAATCTTAAAATTTGTTCTGGTTCAAATTTAACTTATCGTGGTTTGACGTTTGATTTCTTTTTATTTTCAGTTCATTTCTTTTTTTAAAAGGCAGGCAAACTCCACTATCGAACAGCAAAACTGTGAAGGTCACAAAAAACGTGATCGACTTCTAATCTCGAAAGCGAAATTTAATTTCGAGATTTCCCAGCGGATTAAAAAATTTATCTATTGATCCAGTTATTTCAAATTTGGTGATTTTAATCAAAAATGTCAATCACAAATTGTTCTGAAAATTCAAAGAGCATTAAGGGCATCTATTGATTAGTTTGGAATTTGAAAGTTGAGCCTCGAATGTTTTTTTTGCGTTCATTGACTCTTTTGCTGGTATTTAATGGCTAAGTTTTTGAGATTCTATCTGCAGATTCTAACCAAGTTGCAGCAGATATGCTTGTTCTTGTGGCATTAAGATAACTTCAATTTCAACTTTCTCAGGCTGTTTTAGTAAAATAAACATATAAAACCAGAAGCGAGGAGATCTAACCTTTCAGAGTGGCTTTTGTGGCGACTGATTAAAAAAACTAATGGGATTGTTTTGTTTCTTTTTCCTACAGCTCTCACTTGGACATGTTCAATACCCACATCAACGCCCTCCTATGGACCCCTGCACCCCCAGAACCCAGTGAGTCATCGGGTGGGGGTGGGGGAGGGGGCAAGAGTAGTGCGGCTGCTGCCGCTGCTTTGGCCAATCAGATTAACCAGATTAGCACTAAACATCTGACTAGTCGCGTGATTGTGTTCCCGATGCTCTGTGCCCACTTCACTAACATGATAGCCCATGTGGAGGAATACGTGCCAATTGAGGTCAATGCTAATGCTGTAATGCTGTTCATATAAGTTAAAGATTGAAAAACTAATCTTTTTGAAGCGCCTCTTAGTTCACCTTATTAACATTTTGCATTATGAGGGGATTGAAGCACGTTGCAGAAAACTATTGAATAAGATAAGTACACGATTACTTTTAAATCCGAAGATAAGTTTGTTTAGAGTTCACAAATATTATGTAAACACCAGCAATGAGTATTCAATATCCAGTGCTTCCCGTGTGATTATATCAATATCTTCTATGTATTAGCGTGATCACGTGAGTGAGCTGTCGCTGACAACATGCAACACTCTGCTTGAGGAGATCTGCAAGAAGGCCTGCCAGTGCATCCGGGACGTCTGCAAACAGCATCAAGCACTGAGCGAACAACTCATGCCCAAGTATGCACACGCCCTAATACGAAATGCTGATGAAGCGATTTATAGTAGCACAGAGAAAAACGTTTCTTAACGATAGAATACAACCTTTTAAAACTATGAGCCGTGTTAACGCTATTAAATCGAGAATTTAATCTAGCGTTTTCTCGACGAAGTTTCGATTGTCAATTTTGAATGTTGTCATGAAAGATGATTGGTAGCTATTTGGTTACTCTCTCTTGAAGTCATCTCCAGCACAGCACAAAGATGGAGAGAAAGTTTGTTAGTATAGTATGAAGCTTTGTATTATTATCAGATATGCACCCCACTATGGCGGGAATGCTGTGACACCCAGTACGAATACAGTGAGTGCAGGTGGGACTATAAGGAGGAAGAACACTGTGACTGCGCCCCCAGTGGCCAATCAGGAGAGACAGCTGCCGGGCAGCGAGAGTGCGCGGGAAAGGAGGGACAAACAAGTCACCGAGTGAGAGCGCATTACAGTCTTATAATTCGTTGAATTTTTCCGACCATCCACAGAGTGACAAGAGTTAGATTCAATTTAAGTGTGATACAGCTGTGAGAGGCTAACTTTCGTATAGTTTTGCCAGTAATTGATCGGGTTGTTTTGGCGTTATTTTTGGTTGGCTAAAAAAGCCAAAATGTTCGGTTGTGGAGTAAACTTTTGTACCAGAACTTCGCAAAAATTTGCACAATATATTTGTGCTGAAATTCTAAGCAAGTTTTGTCCAGATCATTTTTTGTCTAAAGTCATAGGCTGAAATGTCAGGCGTATTTTGGTTGAAAAGTCTCAATATAATTTTGTCCGAAATTTCTTCGTGGTTTTCAGGTTGGACAGACTGACGATTGAGATGGTGGAAGTGGTGACTGCTGTCAATGAGTGCGATCAGATCATTGTCAACAGGTGAATATCGTTATAAAATAAAAAACAAGTTGTTTTTTGCCATAAGCAAGGGTGTTACAACAGGGTATTCAGAGTTTTTTGTGGTAGATGCAAGGTCGGTGATATATAACAAAAGGTTGCCGGTTCAAGTTAAATAGCTGGATCGCTCTTTCTTATACTTTGAACAGTTTTTATAATTTATTTCAAAAGCCACACTTTTTGTCAAAAGAAGTGTGAAATTTGATTTTTTGATTAACATTTCATCTGCCAGACTGAATTATTTTCAAAATCTATCATAGTAGCATGTACAATTGATTGAAAATGAAATTACTATTAATAAAGAGTTAAGATGTACCACTGGTAATTATTGTATCTAACTAAGGTTAAAAGAGAATAAAAGTATTGGTTGAATTAAAACTGACTGTAGCCTAAAAAGAGCAACTAGTGATCCGAAGTCCACTGGACTTCGTAGAGTTAACATTGACTGGTACGTAATTAGATAATAGAGATCAAGGTTATAACATACTAAAAATACTGAATCACAACATTCCCCACTGCACAAAAATTAATATCTGCCCGCTCATCGATGTAGCCAATATCACACATATGCTCCATCTCCCCTCGCTCCACTAGGGCCAAAGAAGAAACAAAAAGTAACCACGTTTAGCACCAATGGATTTTTACAGAGAGTACAAATAACAATGGAGGTGATTATTTGGTAATATATACAGGCTACTTACAGGTTTACACAGATATCAACACTGAATGTACAAAATGATATGTACAACTGGGGTTATGTAGCATTTGTACAATTAAAGCAAACTAACTAAATCACTAACTAGGTAATAAAAAAACGTTTTGGGTTATCCAATGGATAAAAGCTAAAGCAAATACGTAAAATATCATGTTACCATAGTTTAACAGTTTTCAGAGTTTAGGACCGTAGTGTTGTATCTAGCATGGAAGTTATCTGCCTCTCTTCTTCCATCGGTGTCAATGCCCGAGGATATGTCACTGCCGTCATCATCCTGGGTATTACTGGTAACTTCTACCAATGGTGGCGATACCCATGCGGTCATTGTCGCCTGAGAGGAGGGTGTTGAGAATTGATCTTGTGTGGTTTCAGCAACCAGAGTCGTATGACGTGGGATCTCATCAATGGGTGTAAGATAATCCGAGGGGGACGTCGTACAGTACGTTAAATTAGGTCGTGGACTCTTTGCGCCGGAGAAGGTAATTAGCGGTTCGTCATCGGAGTCTACTGCACTAATGGTCTCCGTTCCGAGCGTCACTTGGTCGATAAACCGCCTATCACCGTAGAATTTCGGGGGGCCTGGGTTTCTTCTTGCACGAAGTGTTGAGGATATCGGGGTCTTTGGTATCTCCACTGTCTTCTCCGGAGAGCTATCCACTCGAATTGGGTCGTCACTTGTGCCCGTTGGTATAGTGATCGTTGTCTGAGTGTTTGTCTTGCTTTGTACGGTACTTCTTGGCTGATCCAAATCACTATGTAAGTTAACAGTCGGTGTATTACATACAGTTTCCGCTTCCGTACCCAAGTAGTCATCAATGACTTTATCCCAAAGGTCTAACTCTAACGAAGAATCTAGGTTATTAAAGTCGAATTTTGAACCTTTCGAGCTCGTGATGAATGTTCTCCTCTTTTTGCATGTATTTCCACCCGTTGGTGTGTAACTCGTCGAAGGGCCTCCTATATTTGAGTCTCGTCTCTTGGAAGGGGAGTTTCTTTTTCGCTTGCCTGCTAAATCATTACTATTAATTAGCGAATTCGGTCTTGCCGAGAATGCCTTAGGAGCTGCCGGTTGGATTTTGTTAAAAGCTAGGTCGGATTTTCTTATCACATGTCCGTTGTCTAATGTGACCGTATGTTTCGTGTCTGACAGAGGTTTACTCCCCAGTGGTTTAAAATACGGTTCGCCTTCCCTCCTGTTAACTGTTTTCCTAAACCAGTTACCTCCTTGGCTGAAAGGATTTGACAGTGGGGCTCGCTGGAGATTTCTATCTACTTTGTCAGCAGGTTCGCTCTCGTACCCTCTTTCATCTATTGCTCTGTCTTCCAGATAGCCATCTTCGAACGCGTCGTCAGCCCCCCAGTCTTGTGCTCTGTCCTTTGTTAGGATTGATTTCTCCTTATCTAAACTAATTGCGTGAGAGACCTAAGATTTCCAGAAAGTATTGGGAGATCTATTAAAATGTTTTGAGAGAGGAGAGCATCCAATGGATGATTGTTTCGTCGAGCGTATATTCCAAATAATTTTATCAATAGCCGTATTTAAGGATGGTTTTGGATTGTTGAACGACATTGCCAGTAGCTTAGCTTTGACAGTGTAAATGAGTCTTTCTACTACTCCGTTGGATCTATGATCACCGACCGTACATAGGATTAAATTAATGTTGTTCTTCTCGCAGAAGTTTCTAAAATCAAACGAAGTAAAACATGATTCATGGTCAGCTCTAATGGACTTTGGAAATCCGTGAAGATAGCAGTAATCTGTCATGAAGGTTAAAATTGAAGAAGCCGAGGTATTGTTCACTACCTTTGCAGACGGAAACTTTGAAAAGCGATCAATGCATAACAAAAGGTTTTTTGAGTTACCCCAACTCTTGTCCAATGGGCCAGCAAAGTCTAAATCTACTTCTTCATTTGGTTCGGTCAGAATCGGTAATTTCTCAGTTATGTTCGTCCCTAGTAACACTTTTAGGTTCTTACCGGCCATTATACACTGAGTGCAATTCTTTCCGTGATGGTAGATCTCTCTGTATAGGTGTGGCCACCAGATGTTTTCTGCCAGGGCTTTCATCCCGAACTGTCCTGGGTGAGTCTCGTGAAGAAGTGACAGGAATGGTGATCTTAATGCAGCCGGCACTATCAGTTTGTTATCGTTAAATAGCAGTCCTTCTTTCACGTGAATGTCCCTCTGGAAGTTCTTTAAGTAGGCTCCGAATTTGTCCAATGGTTTGCCTTCCTGTACCGCCTTCTTTACCTCCTTGAGGATTTTATCTTCGTCCGTCATGAGTTTAATAAGCTTATTTGAGCAATGATCTGAAAGTGATAACGGGTTATCAGGCAATCTGAGATCTCCCTTGTACTTGGCCAGTAATTTCTTGTGTAAGTCTAACATTATATCGTTATTAAAATTCAAAAAGATTCCTTTCTTTTCTGCCCTGAGGGAAATTTTTAACAAGTTGACCGATGTAATAAATTCTTGTAACTGTTTTTTTATCTGAATTTAATGACTGATTGATTAATAGTACTGATTGGGCAAGAAAGAATAAAAAAGTTTTGTCTGATAAGTGAAAGTAATTGAAGTCAAATTTTGATAAATTTAATGGAACAACCGCTTGTGCAAGACTCTGAACGCGAGTGATTGGAATTACAAATTCTGATAGTGTCGTTTACGTAATTCAGAATATTCGAGAAGAACGACCGTTGGATGCTTAGCGATAATTCTTTCTTTCCGCCCATTGGATTATTACAATCCAAGTTACTGATCGTATTTACATCCAATGGATTATACACTTCGTTCTTTTTACAATTATTCTTTTTACAATCGCTATTTACAGAGAGGTTTTCTACAATCTTTTGTACTGTAGCCACTACAAATTCGCTATCATAGTGTGATGTTGGGAGTGCTTTTCCTGAAGGTAGTCTCGAAAATAAATCTGTAAATCCCATTTCTTTTCCCGGAATGTGCTTGATCTTGAAATTAAATGGTAAAAGTCGGTTTACCCAACGGGTTAATCTGCTATGCATAGTTTTGTTACCCTGATTTGACTTTAATCCTGATAACAATGCCTTTTGGTCCGTTACAATTTCAAATTCAGCACCATACAAGTAATTTTTAAAGTGTTCTGTAGCCCAGACTACTCCCAACAATTCAAGTTCGTTTGTCGAATATTTACTTTCGTGGTTGTTTAAAAATCGGGAGGCGAATGCTATTGTTACCCAATTTTCTCCATCCCATTGTTCTAGGGTAGCTCCTAAGCCGCTATGAGAAGCGTCTGTCTTTAGTCTTTTCATCCTTTTTATGTCGAAATGATTATTCTCTGTTATGTTCACTATCTGTTGTTTTAATTCTTCAAACGCTTTAGTATGTTCATCATTCCATTGGTAGACTGATTTCTTCACGAGAAGTGGTCGTAGGGGAGAACTTAGGGAAGACAAATTCGGGACGAATTTCATATACTGATTGATCGACCCAAAGAAAGACCTAAGTTCAGATATATTTTTGGGGTTTGGTAGGTTTTTAATCGAATCTGACTTTCCCACCAATGGTTTCACGCCCGAGTTTGATATCTTGAAACCTAGCCACTCTATTTCTTTTTGGAAGAATGCACATTTCTTCCATTTTACCGCCATATTCTTGTTGTCCAAAATGTTTAAAATGTTTGTTAGTATCGCTTTGTGTTCATTTAATGAACCTTTCGAAGCTATTAAAATGTCGTCGATATAACAATTGGTAAAAGGAATATCTTTCAATAAGGAATCCATCACCCTCTGGAATTCGTTTGGCATATCGCCCAATCCGTAAAATCCAGTTAAAAACCTATAGGTTCCAGTGGTTTCGCCCCCCACGATATTAAAATTACACTGTAATTGTAATTGGCTGTACGCGTTCCTTAGATCTAGACTACTAAACCAAACTTCCCCTGACTCTTTGCTTGACAGTTGGAGTGCAATATTATCGATCAGTTCATGTATGTTTGGCATTTGATACTTGTTCTTGAATATCTGATTATTTAATAGTTTCGAATCTAATGCCAACTTGATGCTACCGTCTTTTTTTCTTGTAATCACTATTGGACTTATAAAACAATCTTCATCGCATTTGTTTAACTTTACGATATGCCCCTCTTTTTCCATTCTATTTAGTTCCGTTTTTACGTTATTGAGTAGATGTAGGGGAACTCTTCTACCTTTGGTTTGGATTGGTTTGAATGGGGATTGGAAATGAGTAACTTTTCTGTCCAATGGTATTTTTCCCACTCTGTTAAATAACCCTGTGTACTTATGATACATATTAAGGGTCGTGTCTGAATAGTTATTTAACTTACACAACTCTGGGCGTGATATGTTGTTGACGGGTAGTAGAGGCTGTCGTTGGGCTATCTCTATTCCAATTCTCGGGAGGTTGTCGTTTCCCAGGATGTTCCTCTCATGTCCAGAAGTGATAAAAAATGGGGTTTCGTCCGCGATCCATCCATTGGATTGTAATCTCACTACCACTTTCCCGATGATGTTGATTGTGTCGTTGGTTAATCCGCAAAATAGTTCCCTCGTTTTCTTCTCAACTGGCTGTATCTTCAACTGTGGGTTTCTCAACTTCAATTCGTGAAGTACATTTTGTTTCAGGAAGCTCACTGGGCTTGCCGAATCCACTGGAATGTTCAAGTTGACTATTGCATCGTCTCCCAAACCGATGTTGACAAGTTTCTTGGTTTCCAAACCATTGGTATCGTAGATTGTTCTAATGTTGAGAACGGAATAGTCATCGTTATCGCTTATCCCCTCTTCGGTCCAAGCGTTAATCACTCCGCAAAAATTTTCTTCGCTTCTTACCTGAAGGTCTTCTGGGGAATATGAACAATTCTGACTATTTACAGCTTCATCTACAATATTTACAGCGGGTTTTCTTCCTTTCGATTTACAAAGTCTTCCGAAATGTCCTTTATATTTACAAATATTAAACAATTTCTTTCGCCGGACACACATTCAGATGACCCTTGGTAAACGCATTCCCGCATTTCATACAAGTATTTGATCTTTCTATGTTCAAGCTTGGTTCCTTTTTTACGTTGTTGAAGTTTTTATACACTCTCCCACTATTTCCTGTCGTGTTGAAAGATCTAGTCATATTGGTTAATTTGAGGTGGTTATAGTAGCCTTTTTCGTCAATGATTGCTTGGTTTAGTGCATCCAATGGATTGAGAGTTTCCGAAAGTAGTCTACGTTGTAATTCGCCGTTTTTCATGTTAAAAATAAATACGTCTCTGATCCACTCCTGTTCTGCATTAATTCCAATTTCACATGATCTTGCTAAATCTGGTAACGCGCCCCAAAATTGTTCATAGGATTCTCTATCCTTTTATTTCCTGCTCAATAATTTATATCGTTCAAATGTTATGTTGGTTGGTTTGATAAAAGCCAATTCTAGCAGTTCATAAAATTCCTTGAATGAGATCCAAGGACTTTTACCCTTGGATGTTTCTGGGCGAAAACTTTTTTGCCTTCCGCTCCTAAGGCCAAGTATAGGATTGACCTTACTTTTTTATCGGCCTCATATCTCCTCAATCCTCCGAATTTCCGTTTTTCCTCTGCTAGTCTTTTCTCTTCAGCGTGTTCGTAGACTCGCATTATTTCTTTGTTCCTGGCCTCCCTGGCTTTCCTCTGTTGGTCAGTTTCTGACTCCTGGGCGCCTTCTAGGATCGGTAACGTCGTCTCCCCTTCCATTGGTTCTTTGAGGTTGTCTATGTCTAAATTTTCCTTCGCGATAATAGCCAAATGGAATTGGTCTATCCAGTTGTTCCATTGTGTGGGAGGTTCTACCGTGTGGTTCGGCCAAAAGGCGGGTATTCCCCGCAGGTTCGAATCAGTTGTTGACTGCGCCATAATAAAGAGTTAAGATGTACCACTGGTAATTATTGTATCTAACTAAGGTTAAAAGAGAATAAAAGTATTGGTTGAATTAAAACTGACTGTAGTCTAAAAAGAGCAACTAGTGATCCGAAGTCCACTGGACTTCGTAGAGTTAACATTGACTGGTACGTAATTAGATAATAGAGGTCAAGGTTATAACATACTAAAAATACTGAATCACAACAACTATATTATGCATTATAATTTAATACATGCACTATGCTCAAAAATACCACTTATTGTAGCATATCACCGCAGGGTCTTCATGTATGGTTTTTTAATGAAAATGTTTTGGTTGCTTTTCAGCTTAATAGCTGTCGGTTTAATTCTGTCGGCTTGTTAACTCAAGTTTTTTTTTCTATTAGTTTCAGTCCTTTTTTATATTGATTCAACTTTGATACTGTTTTTTTTTTAAAACCAAAAATCATTTTCTCAGACCCACTTTTCGAGCGGCCTGCTATTTTAAGTAATATCTTTTTCGGAAAAAATAATTGCAGTCTAAATACAATTTTCTTGGTATTATTTTCAATCCGTTTTTTTCCTCAGCTGATTTTCATCTTATCGCTGATTTTTAACTTATCGTGGTTTGGCTTTTGATTTCGTTTTAAGTTCAGTTCATTTCCTATGTTACAAACAAAAGTAAAGTTGTGAACTTTAATATCAAACAATCAAAATATAAAGGTCGGGAAAAACTTGATCGACATCTAATTTCCAAAATGGATTTAAATTATCAGATTTTCCACCAAAATAAATAATTATTTCATCTATTGGTCCAATTTGTTTTCAAATTTAGTTACTTTTATCAAAAAGTTTCAAAATTGAATTTTTCTCAAAAAAAATTGTCAATCATAAAGCGCTTTAAGTCCATCCATTTTTTCCTTAAAAATTCGAAAGTTGAGATGTTTTCCAAAAAATGAAGCCTTGAATGTTATCAGATCAAAACTACTTTTTTAATTTTTTTTTCATACGTATTACTCATAGTTTTCAGAATTTATTGTTTTAAAACATCAAATTTAGGTTATTTTCGCTATTTGTTTCTTGCACATTTTTGTTTTACTCTCCTTCTGTATAGTGTATTGTTTTCATTCAAAATTGGGCAATTTGATGTTATTCATGTTTTTAGTTTTTACATGTTTTTGGTTATTCCAAAGTAAGCTATTTTTTCGGCAGCATTTTGTCTCCGTTTGTTTTGTCTTAAATTGTTTGTACTTCTTTTTAAAAACCCCACTTTTGGGTTTTTTTGAACATTTCGCGGCTCAATGGGCGTGTACTCAAGTTTTGTCTTCATAGTTACTGCTCGGTTAATTTTTTGTTAATACTAATTTCAAGCTGGCTATCGCGTTTCGCGACAGGTTTCCATCAAGATGAGATTCATTCGAGACAAGCGTATGATAATTTTTGGTGTTGTTTTTTCGGCGTTTTTTTTTTCATTTTTTTGACCTGGCGGTTCTCTGTATCGCATGTGGTGCGAAGCTCAGCTTCGCCCCTGTTTATAGAAAAGTGGAGCGAAGTTTTTAAAAACGGGGTGAAAGTTGTGTGAATGAAAAGAGTGATTTCATCGAATTCAGGTTAAATGGAAAGTTGTCTCAAAAATGATTATCTAGAAATGCAGTTACTGCTGTAAGTATTGCAGCGTTCATATGTTTCTTTTTATTCTAGATTTAGCTTCGCCCCGAGAGAGTACTTGTTAAGTAGACTAGAGGCTACATTCATGGATCAAATCAGGGAATTGCTGGCCCCTCAAAGCCATCCTAACGCCCAATCGGAGATGAGAATGAAGCCGAGTGACATGTTGTCCCGTCTCAAAGCTACAATGGCTGTAATGCAGAGCTTGGAGAGCTACGGTAAGCTGGACGGATTCAAATAATCTATATATATTTTTTGTCCATTTAAAATCAATTAAGTTTATTTTGATTTTCGTCCTAATTTCTGCCGGCTGATTTCCTTTTTTTTTATATGCAATTTATTTAATCTAGTGCGCTTTTCGAGCTGTTTCTTTTCAAAGCTTAGTTTTATTTAAACTCTTTACTATAATAACGCTTGCGATTAGCAAGCGTTATCAAACCGGAATACATACTTTTTTTTCAATTTGTTTAACAGAATCATAATGAACTCAAATTTCTAACCGTCTCTGGCACACTTAGTCTGGAGGTAACGAAAACGAATACGCCTGGGACAGCCAAGGTCCTGGGTTCGAATCTGATCAAGGCCTGTTTTTTCAAACGGAAAAAAATTCGTTTCGAAAAAATTGTCGTCCTATTATTTGTCTGCTTATGTTTTGTCGCTTAGATGCCACATCTTAAATTTTTTTTTGCTGATTACAGTTTTCATTTAGTTGCTTTTTATGTTTTCATTTACTGCAATTTGTAATTCTATATTTTATTTTTTGTAACGGAATGTTTTAATTGTATT